GTAGGAAAGGACAGCACGTGGACGGAAAGGTGACTTAGCTACATGGAATCTCTTTTTTTTTGCCACTACGCAAGCTGTCATGTTGTAAATAAAACATACATAATAAATCACACAGACAATTAAACCAGTATTAACTACCAAATTGTCAAGGCTGACAAAGCTACATTACTACTGGAAGTTGAGAGTATATCCTTGCCATGGAAAATATCAATTAGATTGGACACAGAGTCTATAAAATGAGCTCTTCCCATGGTGTAGAGCTGCCCGCATGGTCCTATACTGTGTAGGGGTCAGGAACGGGGCTTTGTGTCCAACAGTCCAGAACTTGTCTTCTGACCCTCTCACTTTCTAGCGGGGTGACCTTACACAAGTGACTGTACTTCTCTGAGCCCCAGTCTCCTTGTCTGTAAAATGGAGTAAATTAAATAAGATAATGTGATAAATAACATACAATACCATGTATGATATATGTAATATATAAACAAGAGAATATAATGACAGTGCCCGGCACCCAATAAGCTCAATAAATGTTAAGTGTTATTGTAAGTCATCAGCCTTCCTATCACAGGCCTATGGGGGCAGGGGCCTGGAGATGGGCTTTCCCTGAGAATTGAGGATGACCTGTGAGGCCAGGGAGGAGAGACCTAGTGTGGGTCATAAAGAAGTGGGAGTGCAAACCAGGAGGGGACTGGTTGAGTGTTAAGCTGAAGACTAGGCTTTAAATGAAGGTAGAGATGACCAGACCACACCCTTAACCTTGAAGTCTTCTACTCGAGAACCTGATGTTTAGGGAACTGGCAGCTTCATGTAAGGCTGAATGTTTTTAGTGATTGGGAAAGGGCCATCGAGACAACCCTGGTGTCCCCTCTTGTAAGTCACTGGCCAGGTTGTTGCATCATCGCTGGAAAGCAGGAAGCCAGAGTGCCCTTACTCCTGTCCCCCGTCTCCACAAGGTGGGAGGTGAGGGAGAACATTTACTCTCATTGTCCAGAGTGAAAGCTTCACTCTGCAAAATGGCCAGAGCAATCAGCAAGTGATGGAGTAGCTCTTAAAAAGAAACCTGGCATTTAATTAACTTTTCAAAGTGCTGGTTCAGCAACCTCTATGTTTTACATTTTGAATATTGAACAAGCATCTCTAATCGGATCTGAATTGCTCTGGATCTGCCAGGGTGGGGAGCACCTGCCCAGTTTTTATGAACCATGGGATCTTGTCTGAATTTTGGGATAGTGACCTTAGGACCACTCTGGATGAGGCTTCAGTCTGTGCTCCCCTCAGCCTGGAGGTCAGGTCAGCGTTCATGAACACTTTTGCTAGAAGAGAGCAGGCAACACGGAAGGTTTCCATTTTGCTGCTTACTACCTGAAATAAGGTTTAGGGCAGTGACTCCCATATACATGACGGGACCCCATCTCTAGGAATTACTACCCCAGGGGGCCTGGGGTGAGGTCCAGCACAAGGACACTGAAGAAGCCTCCCGGGTGTGGTTCTCGTATGCACCACTAGCTAAGAACTCCCCGCTTAAAGGACTCCCTCCAGCTCTCAGCTCTCTATCTGTACCGTCTATTGCCTTCTGTAAGTGTGGAAAGTCGGGGATGGACTATCTGCACAGTAAATCCAAACAGATGTCTGGGTGCCCCCGGGACATCTGACATCCAGTGGTGTCTGCTTTTGGGAAGGCTCAGGGCAGTGTGCTTGGAATCTAGGGTGGAAGTCGGGGGACAAGGATTCTGGTCTCGGCGTCGTCACTAACTAGCTCTGTGGTTTGGGTGAAGCGCACAACTCAGTGCCCAGTGTCTGTCAGGGAGCCGCTGGAACCCGCTCCGCCTCCTTCCCGCGCTGCCAGCTGGTGCTGATAGACGCGAATGCCTCTGAAGAGCACTGAAAAGTGCTCGTCTGCGTAAGATGGTCTCACGGTATTATTATAATTGTCATGTTCCCAAACCCTCGAATAGCCGCTCCTGGGGAAAGAGGCCCGTCACCTGCCATGGGCTGGACCGTGTCCGTTTCCTCAGGAGTGTGTCTGCAAGGAACAGACGACCCAGCACCCACAGTTCTCGGCCTCCGCCTCCACCTCACACGGTCTGCGGCAGGCGGGCCTTCAGCCCCAAATCCTTTGGTTACCTACCCTGTGGGCTGTGGTAGACCAACTGCATTTTCATTCTTTTAACCTGTCACCACCATTTAAAAATACACTCTGTCATGACGGCATGTGTGTCTATAAAACTGAAAGAGAAGTTTCCCTGTTACGTACCCTTACTACGTGCAGCTCACTTTCTTTTATCATCCTCTATGCTATTAAAACAAGGCCGGGTGATTTACTAATTTGACTTCATGAGTCACTAACGGGCCATGACCCGTAGTTTGAAAACCGTGTGCTAGCTTCTGTCCTAGCACTGGGCTCTGTGTTCTTTGGGGACCAGGCAGGTAAAGTAAACCTGTGAAGTGTGGATTTATTTCAGAATAGCACCTAAATTATATTACTGAGATACATGTACAGGTTATTTGCATATCCAAACTTCTATAAAGATGCATACTCTCTGCCAATTCTCCTAAAATATGCTTCCCACTTGGCCTCCCGTTAGCTTCCCCATGTTTGGTAGCGGCACAGCTACAGCACAGACTTCACTGGCCTCCTCGCTCCTGAGAAACCAGCAGTGCAGGTGAATGGTGAAGAAGCAGTACCGGACCCCGTGTCGGGGTGCTGGGAGCTCGGGCTCTTGTAGGGCGGGGCCACAACTCAGCTTCCCCGAGTTTCCCACGTGGGAACGTAGGTCTAGTGTTGCCAGGTTTTGTATCTGAAGAATTTAGAAATTTGGATTTTTGTACAAAATCTCCCAATTGGACAACAAATTCACGTTAAAACAGAACAAAACAAAACAAAATCAAAATAAACAGCAATGTGGTCCAGACCAAACTTATCTGCAAGCTAGACAAGGCCCGGAAGAGGACAACTTCATCAAGGGCTGGGCGCTCTGTGCCATTTTTCCATCTCCCCAGCAGAGCAGAAGGCTCACAGAACCTGCAGTTCTGGCTGAGAGAGAAAAAAAGGGGAGGGGCAGAGAGAGAGAGAGAGAGAGAAAAAACACCACCTGAGGGCATCCTGCCAACCATCCTTGAGAGCTCCATTTTGATCTTGCTCCATCCCACGGGGTGAAATGAGATGCTGGAGGATCCGTGGCTCCCCCTAGAGTGAGAGAGAGCAGGATGTGGGCTCAGCGGCAATTAAGCCAAGTATGAAATTCATCCCCTTTTTGGATGTTGAGTGGATAAATGCCAATTAATCAGCCTTACCCCAAAGATTAGCGTTATCATTATTGTCTCCTTCAAACAAAATCACTGCTACTTTTGCCACAGCACACTGCTGTGGACCAATTCAGTCATAAGCCCTAAGGGTAAGCAGAGTTGGATATGTCTCTTCTGTACAAATGAAGGTGCTGCTGGCCTAGGCTACCTGGCCTCCTTAATTCCCTATTCTCTGGTCCTGTTTCCATCCAAGCTCTTCTGCCGTTGGTGACATATCAGTTACTGAGTCATTTGGACAGTGGGTTTATAGAGTTCAACTTCCCCACGACAGTTAGAGGTGGTGCGTTGGGAGCAGAGCCTTCTCTCCTCCCACGTAGAAGAGGCAGCTGCGGCTCCTGCCTTGGGCTCTATGTTAGGATTCCTTCGACTTAGAACAGCGTTGGAAGCCTCCATCATTCAGCAACACCCTGGTGGTGCAGCCCTGGACATCCCTTTGCAGTCTACCTTGGGCCTCTTACTGCTCTCTCTGTCCCACTCACTGTCCTACCCCTAGCTGCTCAGTCTCTTTACTTGGCCCTTTAAGAGTCAAAACCGCAGCCTCTAAGATCCCCTCAGAGTTATTCCATCCTGTTCTTCCAACTTGGCTTCAACCAAATTCATTTATTTCCTCCCTCCCTCCCTTTCTTCACAGTACAGTTGCTATGGTCTAAAGTTCAAGGAAAGTAGTCTATTTAAACTTGGACTTAATTTACGAGTATACTCTTTGGGGGAAGTCTTTGCATTTTGTAGGAATTGCTGTTTGGTTCCAACATAGTTCTTACTGGTGAGGCTTTGTGGGCCAGCACTGTCGAGGGCCCTCGCATGCATCTTGCCTCCCGGCCTTTATGTCATTGCCACTGCCCTTTGCCCCAGCTCATCATGGTGTTTGATTTCTAACTTAAAAGAAGTCATAAAAAATAAAAACTTTGTTATTGTGGAAATGTCGAGGCATACAGAAAAGTAATCACCACCCATCACCCAACTTTAACAATTGTCAGCATTTGCCAGTCTCATTCAGAAGACTTAAGATCAGTTTTTCTCAGTGTCAGTAGTATCCTACTTGGATTAGAATTACTGAAAATTGGTTTAAGATGCATATTCCTGGGCTGCCCAGCCCCCAGACCAGCTGATCCAGACATCCCTGCTGCCAGTTCCAGCAATCTGCATATCTGTCAAGCTTCCCGACAGGCTTCCAGTTCCCATGGAATATCCAGGGGCACTACTCGCCCAACATCACTGACAGGGGCTTCTGTCCTTCACGTGGAGGGAGCAGAAAGGCCCCCTGAGCCTGCAGCCTGACTGCATGGCTAGTTCATCCCTTTTTGCTCATGGGAAGCTGCACATGTTAACACAACAGCTCCAACTGGGACCCAAGGCCTCAGTCCCAAAAGAGTGCTCTATAAATTGGTCAGTTGTTGAAAGAAAGGAGGGCACAGTATCACCTATATTCGTTTGGCTTTTGAGCTTACTCAGCCTGCACTTAAACTCAGTAATCTCATTTGGAGACATGCTGAAATAAGGTTATAAGAAGGCACTACAGTGTCTGTAATTCCCTCATGCTGACTGTAGGCCTCGGTCTATAAAGAGGAATCCAGACAAAGCGCTTGGGATATGCTAATGTGCCCCCACTTTTGAGACTCCCTCTCCAACATAGCACTAGCACATCAAGTACGAGACCAGTGGGCTCTCATAATCCTTCTCTTTCTCTCCTTCAGGTCCGGAAGGAGGGCTTCTGAAGAAGTGGAAGAGTATGTTTGCAGTATTCTATGGCATCCTATGGTGGTCTTTGTCGACAGTGCAGCCTTGGTGGTCAGATCTGTGCAGCCTTTGTTGAACAGCATTAAAAAATAGACAGTATGAATCTGGCTGTGGTGTGGGGCTGGAGTCCTGCTTACCGAGTCAGGGGTTTGACTAGTGCCACTTCTCCCGCTGAAGGCCTGGACCCTGGCCTTGGTAGCCGTGCCATACCTTCCACCCTGTGGCTTTTAGAATTACATGTCCAGGTATCAGACTACTGACCCATTGGTTTTGCTTTATTGATACAGATGGGCAGAGGTGGCACCAGCTTTCTAAACCTAGCCTTCTAATAAGACTTACGTTTTAAAAAAAGTTTCTAGGTGAGGATGTAGTGTAAAGTCAGGGCTGTCGAATTTCCCACCTCTAGAGGTAGGAGAAGTGTTCATATCAAGTCTGGGTTGATGCAATACCAGCTTGGGCAGCCATACTTGGCAGACCCAGTTGCCCAGTTAGGTCTAAGCAAGTCGATGGAGGAGAGTGGGCCCAGGGACATTTTCATCTAGGAGAGGGATAGATACAGTACAAATCTGAGTGGTTTCTTTCTGTGTTTAAAACTCATTTTCTACTTTCCTTCTTTTTTGGGGACAGTCACCGCCTCAGACAGAAGAGCCTGGATGGATCAGATGATGGAGGAGGTAAGATGTTCTTGTAGGAAGTCAGAAGGGCTTCCGGAGATGCCCCTGAGCCCCAGAAGCATTTCCTGGACTGCAGCTGAGGCACTGGTTACGGCAGCCTTACTGAGACGTGCGCAGCGCCCGCATCCCTGCTGCTGCCTCTGCCTGGAGTACCTCCCCCTTACCCACTCACGCTCCTCCCTGGAGTACCTCCCCCTTACCCACTCACCCTCCTCCCTGGAGTACCTCCCCCTTACCCACTCACCCTCCTCCCTGGAGTACCTCCCCCTTACCCACTCACCCTCCTCCCTGGAGTACCTCCCCCTTACCCACTCACCCTCCTCCCTGGAGTACCTCCCCCTTACCCACTCACCCTCCTCCCTGGAGTACCTCCCCCTTACCCACTCACCCTCCTCCCTGGAGTACCTCCCCCTTACCCACTCACCCTCCTCCCTGGAGTACCTCCCCCTTACCCACTCACCCTCCTCCCTGGAGTACCTCCCCCTTACCCACTCACCCTCCTCCCTGGAGTACCTCCCCCTTACCCACTCACCCTCCTCCCTGGAGTACCTCCCCCTTACCCACTCACCCTCCTCCCTGGAGTACCTCCCCCCTTTAATCCACTCACCCTCCTCCCTGGAGTACCTCCCCCCCTTTATCCACTCACCCTCCTCCCTGGAGTACCTCCCCCCCTTTATCCACTCACCCTCCTCCCTGGAGTACCTCCCCCTTACCCACTCACCCTCCTCCCTGGAGTACCTCCCCCCTTTACCCACTCACCCTCCTCCCTGGAGTACCTCCCCCCTTTACCCACTCACCCTCCTCCCTGAAGTATCTCCCCCCTTTACCCACTCACCCTCCTCGTCCTTCAGAACTCAGCCGAAGCATCACCTCCTGACATGTGTTCGCTTCCCATCCACTCCCTCTCTGCCTCAGATGTTCTTTCTTTGTGCTCCTACCACCTCCTGGGCAGCGTTGGAACAACAGCAGCAGCAGTAGCTGATGTTTATTAGGTGTTTATTATATATCAGGCTCTGGTCTGCCAGATTATAGATGTTAAAGCATTTAATCTCCACAACAGCCCTGTGAAATAGTACTATTACTATCCCCAGGTTATAACTGAAGAAACTGTAGTACAGAGAGGTTAAGTAAGCTGCCCAGTCACGGAGCCAGGTGACTGTCACACTTTAATTAGGTGTTGACTCGATTGTTCTTCCTTCCGGGCTCTGAACTCCTTGATGACAGGCACCATGTCTTGTCTGTCTTCGCGTCTTCGGCACATGACGCACAGTAGTCAGTTAACAGCTGGCATTGTCAGGCCCGTAGCCTCAGCACAGCTGAAACCCATGTTCAAAACTCAAGAGAAAAGAAAGCTTGTGTGTACTTTTCACAAGAAAGTTACTAGAGAGATTATACTTGGGACCTAAATTATCAAAGCTTTTTTTTTTAAAAAAAACACTTATTTACCATTTCCACACACTATTTCTTCTTGTAGAACTCAGTTCCATCTGGTACTTCCCTGTGCCTGAGAAACTTCATTTAACATTTTTTGTAGAGCGGGTCCTCTGGCAACGAATTCTCTCAGCCTTGTTCATCTGAAAATGTCTTTTCACCGGATATAGAATTCTAGGCTGACAACTTTTTTTTTTTTTAAACTTTTAGAGCTGAAGTTACTTGTCTGCCGGCTGGTGGTATTTCTGAGAAGTCAGTGGTCCTTCTTGTCTTTGTTCCCCTGCTTGCAGTGCCCTGTTCTTCCCTGGCTGCTTTTAAGATTTATTTTCTTTTAGCTTTTATTTTCAGCAGTTTGGTTATGATGGGCCTTGGTATGGCTTACTTGATGCTCATCCTACTTGAACTTCTTGCGTCTGTGGATGTGTTGTTTTCATCAGATTCAGAGAATTTTAGCCAGTATTTCTTTGAGTGTATTTTTCCTCCCCTCTCCTTCTGGGACTCCAGTGACAGGTGTGTGGGTTATATCAGTTGAAATTGCCACACAGGTCACTGAGGTTCTGCTTTGTTTTTCTAGACCATTTAAAACTCTGCTTCAGTTTGGATAGTTTTCTGTTGCTGTGTAACTGCTCTTTTCTTTTATGACGTCTAATCTGCTGTTAAACCCACCCAGTGAATTTGTTGTTTCAGATACTATATTTTTCAACTCTAGAAGTCCCTCTCACATATATCTCTCTCTCATATTTTTATTTTTCCTTGATAGTAACCTTTATAGTAGCCAGTTTAAAGTTCTTTCCTGCTCGTTGTATCATCTCTGTCTTTTCTGAGTCTGTTTCTATTGACTGATTTTTCTTTTGGTTATAAGTCATATTTTTCTGTTTGACTAGTAGCTTGTTGATTGGCTGCTGGCCGTTGTGAATGTTACAAGCTTGAGTGTCTGGATCTAGCTGTCTTTCTTTAAAGAGTGATATATTTGTTTTGGTAGGCAGTTAGTGTATTTGTTGGTCAACTTGATAATTCTGAGAATTGTTTTTAAGCTTTATTAGCACAAGTCTGGAATTAGCCCTAAACAGTAAGACACTCAGGTGTCTCTACTGAGAGCCTGGTTGTTAAACAAGGACTCTCCACGGGCCTGGGTGGAGCAGTTTCTCTTGCAATTCTGTGTTAGCTCTGGGGATCGATAGCTCACATCTTGCTTGTAGTAATTCTGTGTCCAGCCTTGTGGAGTTTGACCATGTACATGCACAGGTTCGTATATGCAGTTCACCTAGATTTCTGGAGCTCTTTTCCTACACAGTTCCCTCTCTCTCATATCTGCTTCTCAAATTCTAACTACCTTAGCCCCCTAAACTTTGACCTCTGTCTCCTCAACTCAGCAAGACCTCCATGGTCCACTTGGGGGTTCCCCCTCTCTGTGCCAGCGTCCAGGAATTACCTCTAGGCAGAAAGCCAGGGTGACTGCATAGCGCCCTTCATTTAGTTCCCTTCTTTTGGGGATCACAGTGCTGTACTACCTTTTCCACTGTCTGAAAACAGTCATATCTTATATTTCTTCCAGCTTTCTAATTGTTTCCAGCAGGAAGGTAAGTCTGGTACCAGTTACTCTCTCTTGGCTAGAGAAGGAATCCCACAGCCTTGTTCTAAACAACCTTTGCATACAACTACAAAGTAAAGGAGAGAATTAAATCAGTAAGACTTGGATGATTACCTGTGCTTTGGAGCTACTCACAGGATTGGGGCAAGAGTCACATAGGACATTTGTGAAGTATTCTGGGATGATGGGTAAAATGCAGATTCTCAGGCCACCCATAAAGCAGAAGCTGGGGTTGGGGCCAAGGGGTGTTCATTAGTTTCAGTAAGCTACCTGAATGACTATTTTGCAGACCGAAGTTTGGCAACCCGAAATTTAGAGGTGTAATACCTCTAAAGCCAGGACTCAGGTCTGGAGGGGAAGGGAGTTGTGTGGAAAGTTCTGCCTCATCTCATTCCAAAGGGATTTTAGAGTCGTCACTGGAGGTCAGGAATTCTGTCTGCACTCTCGGATTTGGTAAGAGCTTATGGGCATCCTCTCATCATTCTTCAGCATTTTTCTTTGCTTTTCCATGATCTCTTATTGACAAGCTCATTTCTTTTTGCCAGATATTCCCCCTTAGATCTACTCACCAAACACCACGTAGCTGCCCAACTTCTTCACCCACTAATCATTCCCGGTGACCCTATTCTGCATTTCTGTCCCCAAAGTCTTTTCCCAGACCTGTACCTAGGATGTCTTCTGCCAGTGTTCACTGGCTGCTGTGGTGGCTCAGTGATTGGTGGCTTCTGGGCACACGTTTGGTCTGCCTGCCTTCGCGGATTGTCTGTTGCTGTAGCCAGTGGTTGCTTAGGGCAGCAGGGTTGCCATCCAGGAGGATGTGCCAAAGGACTCAAGGAGCAGGGTCCCTGCTAGATATTAACCAAGCTGTTAGGTGGTTGGGGAGCAGAGCGCATGGAAATTCTCATGCTGATGACTCTGAGATGCTTATTAAATTCATGGTCTACAGAAGCTTTACTCAGCTGGTATTCTTCTCTAGCCTCTCCACACCCTTTCTTGCACCTCTTTCCAACTCCCTTCAAAGGACTTCTGAAATCCTGCTTTCTCCATTTTTTTCAATGTGTGAAAAATGCTACATTTCAAGGAGTAACTGTTGAATGTTACAGCAAAGCCTTCTGAGTACTGCAGTTTACACAGATCCTAAATGCATATTATTAAAAGGTTGTGCTGGCTGCCACTATGGCATCATCACGTTAGAATCAAATTGTTGAAGCTTTAAGTAACTGTATAGTCTGTCTTGTCTAAACCTGTCATTTGACATGTTAAGAAATTGAGGCTTAGAGATTATTATACAAAATAGCTCAGAGGGGAACTCTGGTCTTCTGACTCCCAAGAGGACACTCTGCTCTGATACCATGGTTTTCACCAGCATCATTGCCATCACCATTCATTACTAAATATTTACCACAATTGATACGACCCCCAGCTATGTTGGCATCTCCTTCTACAGGTAGGTGTATTAGTGTTAGCTCCCAGGTTGGTAATGTAGAGTGCCCAGCATGATTTATAGGATGCTTAATGCAATTTCATTAAGAAAGGAGAAGAGGAAGATACCTATTTTCAGAGAATACCTTTAGTATTTTTTTCCCGTCATAAACTTAGAATGTGAAATTTGTGATTTAGCCTTTATTTTGGCTCTGGAGGTTTGAAGCATGTTAGAGCGCGCACTTGATTTTACCTTCTAGGAGGGATGCCTCTTCCAGGCATAAATCTGTTGTCCGTGCCGTTATGCCTGAGTCCTTTAATGGAAAATCAGTTCATATGTTACACTTCACACTTGGCTTAGTCCATTTCACTGTATGTGAATGTTTAGAATCCATTATGCAGTAGGAATCATATGTTACATATAACTAGTTTCTAGAATTATCTTTGCTCAGAGAATTACTTGGTTGGCTAGTGAAGGCTGCTCCTTTGAACTTAGAATAACCAGTGGGTGGGGAGACTCCATGAGTGATTGCCCTGAATCATCCCTGGACGCTCG